GCTTGCTTTTGACCGTCCCTGGCGTCCATTTCGCATGGCCTTCCCGGTAGTCACGTACTAGCACCTTCTGTCCAAGCGTAAAAGATCGCTTCTTTGCTCCATGCCGCCGGTTAAAATCCTGTTCCATTCTGCGGTTTCTTTCACAACAGAAGACTCCGAGCGCGGTCGGATGGCGTCGAAAGGCATGCGGAGCTTCCGGTTCATCATGGCCTGTGCTGGAGAGACTCCGTCTGGCGCTTGTGGATTCGGTGTTGATCGGTAGAGGAAAAGGAACCGGTCAACCACCTCCTCTATACGTCCCTCCCCTTTTGATTTGTGGAGAGCTCGCTTGAATGTATCGACAAACCTTTCTGCCTGGCCATTCGACTGTGGGTGAAACGGCGGCGAGCGAACGTGCTGTACGGCGCATTGCTTGCAAAACTCCGTAAACGTTGCTGAAGTAAATTGTGAGCCATTGTCGGTGACAATTGTCTCAGGACAGCCGAATCTGCTAAAGGTTTGGCGCAGTTTCGATATGGTGGCATTGGTGGTTGTGTTCTCCATAAGAAATACTTCAGGCCACTTGCTGTATGAATCGACTATAATGAGGAAACTTCGGCCGTTGATCGGTCCCGCAAAGTCGACATGGATGCGGCACCATGGCTTAGTAACTTTTGGCCATGAATAGAGTACTGATTTTTGTGGCGCTTTCAAGACATTGGCACACTGTTGGCAGCGTTTGGCTATTTCTTCTAGCTGTTTGTCCATGAACGGCCAGTATACATAACTGCGGGCAAGCGCCTTCATCCGGTTGATTCCAGGATGCCCGGCGTGGAACTGCCGAATAAGACGCTCCTGAAGTGCCTTGGGGATGACCACACTTTCCGAAAATAGTATGCAGTCGTTTACAATAGAGAGCGAGTGTCTTCTCTGGAAGTACTGTTGCAACTCGGCAGATGGACATGAACGTGGCCAACTTGTTTTGTGAAATCGTGTAACCTTCTTGAGTATTGGGTCCCGAAGCGTTTCGGTTCGTACAGCTTCTGCGGTAACTGGTAGACCGTGCAATGCATCAGTTACCAGAAGTTGACGTCAGGTTCAATCTCGACCGAGGCAATGATTGTGTCCTCATGTTCTTGCTGGCGGGCATCAATTAGGCGTGACAGTGCATCCGCTTGGCCAATGGAAACTGTCGACTGGTATTGGATCTCAAAATCATACCCCATTAAGGTAAGAGCCCAACGTTGTAGCCGGTTGGCTGTGTAGGCCGGAATGCCCTTTTTGAACCAAAGATAGCCAGCAAGGGCTTGTGATCTGTCAGAAGCTTGAAGCGGCGGCCGTATAGCATTTTGTGGAATTTCTTGACTGCGTACACTATGGCCAATGCTTCTTTCTCAATCTGGCTGTAATTCTTCTCGGCCTTCGTAAGTGTTCTGGCGGCATGGGCGATTGCCTTCTGAGATCCATCGGCGTAGGTGTGTGATATTACTGCACCAATCACATGGCTTGATGCATCTGTGGCCAAGACAATCTCTTTGGAGGGGTCAAAATGAGTCAAAAGCAAGTTTGAGGACAGCAGTGACTTGACGCGTTCGAAGGCATTCTGGCATTCTGATGTCCAGTTCCATGTTTGGCCTTTGGCTAGTAGCTTGTTTAACGGGGCACGCAGGCGGTGCATCTCAGGCAAGAATGCGCTGTAGTGGCTGATGAGCCCACAAAAGGAACGCAAGGACTGTAGATCTGTTGGTGGAGGCATGTTTCTAATGGCTTCTATGTTTTCCGGGTCTGGTCGACGTCCATCCTTTTCGAGGATAAAACCGAGGTATTTGATGATCGGCGTGAAAAATGTGCATTTATCCTCACGGATCCGGAAACCGTACGACTGTATGCAACCAAGCACTTCATCCAGTCGGTTAAACAGTTCTTCCGGTGTTCGGCCCATCACTATGATATCACCCAGATATGCAGCGGTTCCAGAAACGCCCGCTAGCATGGTGTCCATCAACTGTTGGAAGATGGCTGGCGCCGTTTTCACACCAAATGGCAAGCGGTTGTATTGGAATAGCCCACGATGAGTGTTGATCGTCAACAACTCCCTCGAGACATCGTCAACATCCACTTGCAGATAAGCATCGGATAGATCAAGCTTAGCAAAGTACTTACCACCATTCAACTTTGCAAAGATATCCTCCGGTACAGGTAATGGGTACTGGTGGTCGTCCAGCGCGGCGTTGAGGCCAGTTGAAAAGTCAGCGCAAACGCGTACCTTGCCATTTGCTTTCTTCACTGCGACAATAGGTGCGGCCCATGATGAGTAGTTGACGGCTGTGATGACTCCGGCACGTTCCAGTCGATCGAGCTCTTGCTCAACGGTTGACATGGCTGCATATGGTACCGGTCTTTTGGCCTTGAACACTGGTTTAGCACCTGGTCGCAAGTTCAGTGTCGCTTTGAATTTTGTACAATGGCCCAAGCCATCCTGAAAGACAGAGGCAAATTTTCGCTTCAGGGTACGTGTCATGTCTTCGACGGACTTTGATGATGGGTCTGGACTTGCTCGAACTCGGTTGCAGATCTGATTCAAGGGAACATCGAGGAGATTCAACTTTTCAATCCAGTCGAGGCCAAGAAGATTCAAATTCGGCCGGTCTGAAATGTAGCATGTTCCCGACTTTTCCACACCTTGGAAAGCAATCTTGCAATTGAGTTCGCCCACTAAGTTTAACACACCGCCGGATGCATTATGTGCAACTTTCTGAGACTCGACCATCTTCGGCCTCTTTATGTGATTCCATGTGCTCCTGGAAATAATCGTGATGTCCGAGGCCGTGTCAAATTGCAGTTTCGTTGGGATCCCATTGATTAACACAGTGATGAATCGTCGTCTCGGTTTACACTCGCTTTGGAATGCGGCAACTATGGACAGAGACTCAGCGCCGTCTTTTCTAGAATTACCCTTTCGATAAGACTTCACTTTCTTCGACCGGACTTGACTGCAGCATTCCTCTTTATGCCCACGCTTATGGCACGTTTGACAAATATGATGTTTGAAGGGACAAAAGCGCGCGAAATGCCATTCGCCGCATGACCAGCATGCTGTGGGCGGTTTGTTCGTCGGCTTCTTGAAGGGTTTGCTTCGGTTGCCGGTCCTGGCCTTTTTCACGAGTTGCACGGTATCTGCTGGTGCGCGACCATTGCGTTCGACCATGGCAGTGTCGTGTTTTAGAGTGAGCAGCCGTTTGCATTCGCTTACGAGGGCCTTCAGTGTCAGATCAGGATCCTGCTCCAGCTTAGCTAAAAGTCGCGTTCGGATCTCAGCATCACTGGACGATTGCAGAACGCTGACGAAAATGAGACACTTAAACTGATCGTCCGTTAAAGAGCGTAGTTTGAAACGTTCACACTCACGGTTAATCATGTCTGCTAAGGCCCCAAAGTCGTCAGATTCCTGTTTGACACTTTTCAGGCATTGATAGCAAATACTAAACAAGGATACTGACTCACCAAAAATTTCCTTCAGCTGCGACACTACTTCGTCAAAAGTCAGATTCTTCGGCTGTTTGGGTAAAATGTGGTCTATGAACCTTGAATGTTCACTTATTCCGAGCTTGCGGAGTAGCAATCGCACCTTCCAGGAGTCATCCTGACGAATGAAGTCCGTCTGGAACATGTCTTCCCAGCGCTTGAACTACGCTTCAAAGGTGCATCCAGAATCCGCATGATAGCGTTCGTGAGAAGATCAACAGAACTCGCCTACGTGTCCCGCGCCGTTGCCCCTGTTGTCTGCAAACTCAAGCATTGTATCAGATTTTCAATCATTTTCATTTGGGCCTCTATTTAAGCTTGCTTATGAAATTGTTCGGCAGAAAAATTCATCACATTTCCAATTTTCTCCGTCGCCACTTGTTATAATCTTCTCACTAGACGCAACTCCACTAATAACAATTCACTGCTCCAACCAAACCGAAGGAAAAAAACAAAACGCCAATGACCTTGACAAAATAACATATTAACCGCCGCCAACGAACACTGTACAACTGCTGCGGACCTTGGCTGTATTTATAGGTCTCTACTGACCTACGACTTCTAGAATTGGAAGGTCAGCTACCAACATTAGTGGTTTCCCATATCTTTTGCCGAGGGGTCAGGTGGATTTTAATCACGTGCATAAGCAGAACATTCAGGAACGTTCAAAATCGATGCGATAATCGTTGCTAATCGATTAATGGCTAAAATAGTGGATTTCCAAGGCAATTCTTACTTTCTCCCGGACAATTGGACGATGGAAGTTCTGATTCAGTTACGTTTCCGTCTTTGTTTCCGCACATGAATGCGAGTGTTTTCGATAATGACGGCATGGTGTCACTCAGCAAGACACAATAGTCCTTTGTTCTATCTGGAACCTGATCTCCTCTGAATATCCCTTAAATGTTTTGCTTATCCGCTATTCTTTACGCTTATCCACTGACCTTGTGCGAAAATAGGGAAATCCATCAGTAATAAGTCCGTGTTTCGTACAGACGCTTCGCTGCCTGCCAACCACCAACAGTTGCGGCAGACTAGGGATATCGCGGGATTGTTCTCACCTACGCATACTCGAATCAGCAACCCGTGGAATACAAGCCAAACGCTTGGACCGATCAACTACCGTCCGGCTACTGAACTGCAGCACATTGGCTTAGGTGTCCCCCACTTCTAACTAACTTGTAGAATGATGATGATGAGGATCTAGTAATCAAGCGCTCACGCTGCACTCTCCACCTAAGTCCGAACGGTTTGTCAATGTTGCGGTTGCACTATGGATCTGGTGACAACCTTTGCTTTCGGTACCCCCCTGAATGAATCATATAACCAGCTATTACATCGGTGCCTGTGCTTCTAACTTCACACCTCTCTTTGAACGAGCTATCCGTCACATTTACGCCACAGTTCTTCTTCTGGTTTTGTTTATGAGGAATCTTTGCCTAGAGTGGAAGTTTGTCTCTAAGGTTCACCACCTTTACTTTTTGCCTTTTCATCAGCGTGCTCGTGGCCTTCCTGGACGCCCGTTCATGCACTGGTTCGGGTTATATGCCATTATTTACGCATTCCTCGTTTTGACCCCTGGTATCTGTTGGCTCGGATTCCCCTGGTTGGGCACCAAATTCTTACCACCCTTATGGCTACTGTTCATGGCTTTCTGCAGTCATGTGCTTCGCGACGCTGGTCATCGTGGGCTGTGGTTATGGCCGCCACCAGACCGAAACACTTGGATCGGCCCTGTTTCAAGGTCTCCTGATATGATTGAAACGCCCCTTCTTCCTTTGTTCCCACTTTATATTTGCACCATACCTTTGTTTGCCGTTCCTTTTGGACTTACGGCTGCTTTATTTCAGTGGCGAACTTCTAATTTTGCGCCGTTTCTACGCTTTATAAGTTCATGCGCTGCTCGTGAGTCAACTTTACATTCCTCTTCACAAGTGTAACTGGTCCTCAATGCATTGTCTGCTCGATCGTTTTGTTCCTCGTTTTTTGTTTTGGGCCCAGGGCGACGAGTACAATAACTTTTTTGCTCTTTGCTCGCTGTGCCTTATTTTTTCTCTTTAAATAGATACATGGGTATATTACCCGGCGGTTAGGTGAAATATGATACTTTTGCTATCTCGTGAATATTTTGGTTTATCGCGTAGTCCAGTTACATGGTGAACGGCGCTCACCTGTGGTTTTTTTATCCACGCGGCGTGACGCCTTGCGGTTAACTTTACCACTCTTATCGCATTAGGTAACGGATATATGCCCGACAGTCTCATTGTCACCATCTTCTGTACGCGAACCTATGGAGGGATGGATGATCCTCTTTTCTCAACTTTCGGCTATGAGAGAAATCTTCACGATCCAGTTACTTTAGGTTAAGTGGTCATGTACTTACCAGTGAACTATATGTTGCTGCCATAAACTTTTGCGCTTACTGTACCCTGCTCACCCTGTGATTCCCCATATTTGTGCATGTAGTTTACCAAGGTCGTACCTTGCTTACTAGAGCTTCGAAATGATCTGTTGTTATACTGCTAGGTAGTATACTAACCGAGATCGCCGGCGGGTGACCTTTTGTCTTGAGCTGCTTGTTCGGCGTCAGGCTTTGAAAGCTCTCCCTGATATCACAACCTGTAGCTAAATCGTTTCACCCTACCATCTTCTAGATGCGTTCTGCATCCCTATTGTTCAGGGCTTTTCTACTCTCTTCATTTGGCATTTCCTTCCTACTTCCTACGTATTTTGGTTAGCTCCGTTTAGTAGTGTATACACTCTCATCCCTTTGCCTAAACTATAGGTTGTACTTTGGATGGATCATTGCTGACGCTGACGATCAGTCGTGATCCACGCACAACCTGGTATACAGTCAGACATTAAATTAACCAGGTTGTGTTTGATCTGCTGCCTATTCTTAATTGGGCTTTGGATTCAGCACTGTTGCCTCCTTCCATCATCACAAAAGGGCCTTCTAGGTATTGCCACCAAACACGTCAAAGCACAAAAGAATTCGGTCTGAATATCCTTCTCATTGAGCATAGAGAGTATTTCTTTGATCGCCTACTCTCGGAGCTTATACATACCAGGTAACAGTTTTCAACTTATACATTCAGTTCGATTGGCATAACTAGTGATTTTTCACTTTCAGCCTCTGGTTAAACCTGCCTTATGGCTTTGGCTATTCAACTCAGCACTCCGGATGAAGGCCCTCATTTAATCACTGCCTTGTGAACTGAATCCTTACGTCATGCGATAGACGTGAACGCGCTTAGACAATCTTTCTGGAAACGAGCATGCCGAACATATCATTTATCCTCAGGGTTTCACTGTCCTCTTTTATTTGTCTTTTCCCCATCATGTTTTTGCCTTTGAGAGGCATATCATCAAAGCTACGATGTGGCTTTTTTCCGACTTCCGGAGCTACTTCACATTGATTCTTTTGGCATCGGCAATCTCCATCGGAATTGGTGTGTGCTGTGTCTGAAAGCTGTAACAGCTGATACCGAATTAGAATTACCGTGACAGAACCTGTTTTCATGTCTCGTCTGGTGAGGGGTCATAAAGTCGAGGCACTGACGGCGCTGGGCTGTATCTCAGCGAATCTGCGGAGACCCGTTCTAGAGTGAGTTTAAGTGAACAACCACATTTATCAATATTGACAGCGTCACAGTCATTTGATGCTCTCCTGCTACCATACAATTGTGATGGATTAAAGACAGTCACTACTGCACCAGTTATCAGTAGTATAGAAGTACCAAGGAGCCAAACGGCAATGAGCCAACAGCAGGCCATGCTAATTCTCCGAAAGGTAAGGAACATTTGGGAACCATAGACCTTTGCGTGCGAGAAATGAACACAAGCAATGCATACCACTAGACACAGGAGCAGCGCGCGCCATGCAACCTCCAGCAGGGATTGCGTAGGTGAGTGAAGTTTCGTTGATTAGAACCGATGCATCTGGCCATGCTATTTAACACAATTAATAACTCCGTTCCCATCTTGTGTTCTTACATTGGCACCATTACCAGCTAAAGCAGATTATGAAGATCCTTTGGCCAGCACCGTTTGAAGAAGGGGATGTGAGAACCTTATCGGAAGACTTCGAGGATGTGGCGGAGGCGGTTGGAGTTAATACCGACTGGGCGAAACTGGTGGCCTTACGAAGTCTCCTCAAGGGCAGATCGAAGGCAATCCAGGAGGCGGCGCGAAGAGGCCCGCCACTTTGGAGTGTTCCGCCTCGAGAGATGCCTTGATTTCTGGATTAGATAGCCCGGCCGACCGTCAGGAGACGGCATGGCTTGGTGCAGGGTCGGATCCCCTCGTGTTTGCGGTTCACATCAAGTGCTTGTTGAACCATGCCTTGCCGGGTATGGATGCAGCGTCGAAACAGAAATTACTGCTGGACCAGTTCATGATCGATCTCCTAAAGTCCATCGCGGAACGCGTCCGGATTGCGGATGCTATCCCGGGAATGCGACTGGCGCAGTTGGCACAGGTGACTCGAAAGCTGGACGACGCGCCACCATAGAGGCGTGGAGCGGTTGGATGAATTAGTATGGATGATGGTACAGCTCGTGCAAGACCTCAATGGGCTTCGCGTTCAGCGCTCTGAGGGGCGCGCAAGTAGGTACTGCATCCTTTGCAGGAACCCGGAACACTGGAGAAGATGATGTCCGGGGAGGCATGCTGTTGCTTGGTTGGCGGCATCCGGTTTCGGATTTGCCTGTCACTGTGGCAAGCCACAGGACGCCTGCGTCTACAGAGGGACCATGGGTGGCTTGCACTGCACCACCCACAGCTCCAACCACATACCCCCATATCCAGTGTAAACCCGTAGGAATAAGACCGGGAGGCATGCGGATGGGAACCACGTTTCATCAACGGAACCGGCCCACACTCCTTCATAGGCAAACACAAGCACACTGTATTTGGGAATCAAGCGCACACAAGGCGGTGGCTGGACCGTAGTCCGCTCCACACTGAGTGCATGGAACCACTCTTTGATCTTAACACGGCCACAAGGATTGTGCACCCCGTCCCCTCCAGCAACGACCAACTGTCTCCTGGAGCCAGATGGACGAGGTATTGAGTACTAAACAGGTAGGCACCTTGTCAAAATGCGCATCATGCGCAGCCACACCGGGGATATCAAACAACAGCCAATCACTTGAAAGAGAGATACAAATAAAATAACTCGATTAATGCATAAGGAAACGGTGACATAAACCTTAAGTTAATGAGCATATGAAATAAGTTGTTTACAAACGAATCCTAGTTAAGTTCATGAGATCAGAAAGTATACTTTACGGAAATGCCACGAACACAAAAATGTCATGGAAATCGAATACAATTGGCTTATGCGAGGTGTGCAATTCGATGGAATAAAATACAGGTAGATATTTATATGAGAAAGAAAAGCATTAAGGCAAAATTGAAAACCCACCACCTGAAATAAAGGGACTTAGCATGCAAGCACGCGGTTAGTAAATCGAATGCAGCGTACCTACAAACGTTGCGCCGGTTCTGCCTACGTTCTCTGCAGAACCCGTCGTCTGTTCGGTAGTGGTCTCGAGTGGCCTCGCTCATGGCTCACTAGGCCTGCCTGACTCAGGCACTCGCGACCGCATGTGCTACAGCACCGTGCGCTCGATGTCGATGGAGTACATCCCATCGGTGCTTGCCGCTTCCGCAATTGCCGCTTCTCTGCATGTATGAGGTCTTTCTTCCGCACTTCGGCAACTGCCTTCGTGATCAGATCGCGCCATGCATGCCGATCAACCGCCTTCAATTTCCATGATCTGCAATCCAGATTAGAACGTGTGAGGCTCACTTTAATCATGTCCTGGTATCGTAACTTTGGTTTCCCCACGTGCCGTTTCCCAATACTCAGCTGACCATCTAATAGCTGCTTCGGTATCCGCGTCGAATCCATACGGCTCACATGACCGATCCACCTCAGGTGTCTCAATAAAAGTATGCAGTTCACTGCATACATCCCACTTCGGCGCAACACTTCGGTGTCTGCAACTCTGTCGCCCTAGCCGATGCGCAAAATCCGTCGCAGACACTACTGCTGGAACCGCTCGAGATATCGCACATCCCGCCGGTACATCGTCCACGTTTCACTGTCCTATAGAAGAACGGACGGCATTATGGATTTGTACACCATCAGCTTCGTGCCAATGGTAAGCTGATGGTTGTTCCACACTCGGTACTCAAGCTTCCCGAATGCCGCCGCTGCCTTCGACACGCGGATACGCAGCTCACTGTGTAGCTGCTGTCAGTCGACATCACACTCCCAGGGTAGCAAAAGCGGGAGGTGGCATCTAATACTTCAGCACCAATGCTGATTCGCGGCAATATTGAAGATTGCACCTCCGGTGAAGGCTGAAAGAGACAGACAGTTTTGCTTGTGTTGATGGTGAGCCCGAATTTGGCCGCTGTGGAAGCCAGAGCACTAGTCATGTGCTGCAACTCATCCGCGCTGTGTGAAAACAACGCACAGTCGTCAGCAAACAGCAAAATACGGATAGTTGTCTCACAGACTAGAGTTCTCGCACCGAAACGACGGATGTTCAGCAACCCACCATCAATACGGTGCTCCACACGAACACCGTAAGCACAAGCGGCATCAAAAGCACAAGACAACATTGCATGAAGATACATATTAAACAGGGCAGGAGCTAACACACAGGCTTGCTTCACACCAGAGACAACTGTAAAGTCATCAGAGGTCTCTCCACTCAGCTGCACCCGCGCTCGCATACCACTGTGCAGACATTCAATTAAACTTACAAACTTACGCGGACAACCAAACTTACCCAACACCAGCCACAGTGCCTCGCGGTTCACCGTATCAAATGCCTTGATGAAATCAACAAACAGCGAGTACAATGGCTGGTGTCGTTCTCTGCACTTCTCTTGCAACTGACGAGCAGCAAACACCATATCTATAGAGCTGCGACCCGAACGGAATCCGCATTGCTCTTCCGATAAGTTAGTTTCCACAACCTGACTGACGAGGCGGTTGAGCAGGATTAGGGCAATCACCTTGCCCACACAACTCAGCAAGTTGATGCCACGATAACTCGCGCAACATTGCTTGCTACCTTTGCCCTTGTACAGTGGTCATCAACATCATCATCAACAACAGCAGTACATCAGCCAATTGAACTGATGCTTCGCTGCCATACAACCATGAGGAACTATGCAATAAAGAATAAGAAGAGGGAGAGCAGGGGGACTTACTTGAAAACCTTAATGCCCTAAGCAAACATTCAGGGTCAAGGCGCCTACACCTTGTGTAGACAACATACCGTCACAAACAGCTGGCTATCGTGCAAAGATAAGGCGGCATCGGCGAGACAGCTTCCTTGCGGTTTTCACTGCCACGCGTCATAATCAGCCATTATCCCGCAGATAACTCAGCACCAAACACACTTTAAACAGGCAATCCGATTAGAGGACGGCAGCAAACGCGCCACTGGTTTCGGTTGCGAGCCATGTCCTGTAAAGTCTCGAGCCAAGCACAAGGTGAGTCACGTGAACTCCAGCCCGGAAGGCGAGACGGACCAACGGCACCCAGATTAGTCGTCAGTGACTTCATTTCCCGCTGCTAAGTCAACTTTTATCCACCTCAAGCCTTGCGCCACCCTACACCTGGTAGACTGAACAAGGCCCTCCTAGGTAAGCGGTGACCAGGCATACGTAGCACGTGCCCGAGCCAACGCAACTCATTCAGTGCTATCTGTTGTTCTAGGGAGCTAGCATGATTACCACTACCTAGTACTCGCCTACGCACATCATCGTTGCGGACACGCTGGTGCCATCCGACACCAGCAATGCTTCGCAGACAACGATGATCAAAGAATTGAAGGCGCCTCAGATCTTCAGACCGAAGGGGCCAAGTCTCACTACCATAGAGCAGAACGGTCCTCACTGTGGCCTTGTATACCCGGCCTTTCAGACGAATAGAAACTCCCTTCTATCGCCAAAGATGCCGCAGGTTCAAGAAGGTAGCTCTGGCTTTTGCAATGCGTGAGCTGACGTGTTTCTATGTGCTCATCATTGCTGATGCAGCTGCCAAGATAAGTGAAATGATCAACCACCTCGAGTTCCTCGTTAGCAAGCGTCAAGGGGTCATCAAGTGGCTGGTGGTC